AGGGTTGAATTGTACTTTTTGCTCTTCACCTTCGTACATAAAAAGCTGCCGATTTACCAGAAATTGCAAAGTGGGAGGATAACTCCATGACTTTAAAATAAACCATGGCCTGGATAACCAAGTAGCTCAATATTGAATCGAAATTACTTTTTTTACTTGTTACTTGTCACTAAGATATCTAAACTGCAGGAACGTGCCCTCTTGAATGACAGACTAGGTTTTTCGCCTGACTATCCTGATCCTCATCTGGCGAATGGGAAACCCACGTAAAGTAGGGCGAGGGATGATTTTCTAGGTCAAACTCCCCTATGATAATGCAGTTTACTACATTTTTTATGTAACCCATAAAGAAAACGACGACAAAGGAGAGATTTCTCCTCGGGTGAGGTGTCAGCGCCAGAGGAATAGAAAAACGAGAAGCGCTGCAGGTAGGTTTGTGCATCTGATAAACAAACGTCGTTCAAACGTCCTGCAAAAGTGCCCGTACAACACGCAAAACCGAATATTCCATTTTAGCTAATTTCGCAGAGCCGACAATGCTCAAAGACGGCGAGCGAATTTTCAGTGATTCCTCTTGTCAAGCCGTCTTCTCTGCTTACTGTACGTAACTGTGCTAACCCTTGAAATGTCAACCGAAATTCTGAAATGCGTTTATAACTCGAAAATATTACTTAACGAGGGTATTAATATTAGCCATCATGCGACATAATCCCAAAATAATTCTATTATTCTTTAGGATGTCAGCTTTTGAACAAATTTCTATTCGGTCGTCTGCAAAAAGTCTATTCTGTAGAAAATGGCTACTGAAGTAGTGTGAGCATTTGTCATAAATCCTCGGTGCACCATTTTAAAACCAAATTACGCCATTTATTCCAGTATAAAATTTGAAGAAGACATAATTTGCTACTAAATTAATACGAAAGTAGATATTATCATGCATGATTTCTACGAAACGTAGTTGACTTTATAGGGGTACGGGACTCAACGAATAAAATTCGCACTAATTTTGTAGCCATTTGTTAAAGAATGTAGGTGACTGAGAAGATTTTCGTTCAAACTTTGGTACTAGAATAACTGAATTATCCTAGAAGTATGCTACACGATGATTAATATTATTACCCTTCCGTTGACAATCTCTTCGAGTCGAAAACGAATTGCGGAATTCCAGTCAACATTTCAGGCGTCAGCACCTCGACTGAGGTTGGCTTGTTTCTTGACAATAAAAGGCAGCACTGCACAATTGAGATGCGCAGCGAAATGGGGATATGGATTAAATTGTGGTCACTGAGCACCAATGTACGACCGCCAGTTCATCCAAACAAAGAGCGTATAAGGTTCGCAAGAAAAAAATACTTGTTACTTGGTGACCCTTTAATTTTCGAAATCTGACCAACCAACAAGTTGTCAAATTAATCTAGCAGATAATTATTGGACCCTACCGTAGCCAATAACAATCACAGTTTTTGTAAATAAAAGTGGATTGACATATGTAAATTCGCGTAACTACTTACGACTTGTTGCGCACCGACGTCGAAGGAAAGCTCTGCGGTTACGTCAGAGGCCTCAGTTTACGGGTAACGTTTGTCCAATAATTTCAGCTCGGATAATGATCAATATAATATGCGCCATATTGTTGTCTGATTTTTCTACTTTTTCAAAGAGATGGGGGCTTTGGCCGTCTTGGGCTCTTAACATATTCAAAACACGCTACCTCCCATTGATTTTGTTCTTTTCATCGATGCACATTTCACATCGTAGTTGCAACCTTATAGCAAACCGTGGCATCCTTCCGCAAGCGAAAAACAAATCGAATTATAGTCCTTGATACCCTAAATTTTCTATGCACTCAGACCTAAATGATTTTAGTAACAGCATATTTTCTGACTGTATTCCCTGACAGCACAAGTTGGACACTGCTCGGGAGAAAATTCAAAAATGAAAAGGGAGATGACAATGAACCGCAGAAAACACAGAGGGGATTTGATCTTATATATTCTGTGTTTCATTCCTTGCCGTGTCAATTCATGCAGGCGTACGTCAGGTAATATTGCCAAAACCTTAACCGTATCTTGCAACGGAAGCCTCTTGGTTTATCCTTTAACCCACTAAGCTATTTTTAGCCCCACTATTCTGTCCACACCATGGGCTGCAAAAGGTCAATGAAAACGCTCAGTGGCTCATATCCTCCCTTCTGGAAATACCGAGAAGCATTACAGAGTTCAGTGAGTTTTCTTGTGTTCGTGCCTTTGAGAAAGTGCACTTTGAAGCTGACAGTACGTGTATCACCATGGAAGTATTCGAATCAAACAACTCCTACAGACTGATATGTGGATTTCATATCGCTTACGCCTTCATGAACGTAAAGTGCCAGGTAATTTACTGTTTTTCGTTTTCCTAATTTACGTGAAGGTTCCAAATCAGGGGACGAAGGAGGCAAAAGTCGTTGTTAGGGAGGTTGACTTGGAAAGTGAAGTTTTCTACTGGAAGCCTTCAGGATCTTCTGACATTAGTCTTTCGCCCACTATCAGGGTACTGGTTGCCGGACCCATTACCGTCCAGTCGGGATCTCCGGCCTGGCTACCAGCGGACATTCAACAACATGTTACTCACTTCATTGGAAGCAGTTTA